GGAGACCTTATGCTCCAAGAGGCTTAATGAAACTCTAACCTACTTTCCAAGCTTCCTAGTACTGTGTAATAATCTTTAGTCTTTTCATGCCATGTTAATTCCTGCAGATCTGCAATAGACTTCAGTCTGCGAAGTAAAATGCATGTCTACCTATGTGAGAAGAAGAAGAAAGAAGAGGTCATTCAGGCATAGCTTTCCCACTCTGTGTGGGAAAGCAGCTTGGCTTAATAAAGTCTTTTATTCTTGCAGCTTCAACCAAATCTTTTAAAATAAATCTCAAGGAAGCCCGAGGGTTTCTGGGGGAAATTGTCTCTAAATGTCAGGACCTTTTAGGTCAATTTCAAATTACCTTGTGGCACAAAAGCCTCGCAGTGGCTAGCAGGAGCTCTTATTTCTCATTTGTTTTCTCCTAGGGGACTTTAGGGCAGCCTGAGGAGCATTACACCACACCTGGTTCCCAATTATAAGAAGGAAAATATGGTTGGCAACAGAGTGTGGGTATTTAAGAGGAAGATTTGTGTCATGTAGGTGAAAAGAAAAGAGGTATTTTTAACAATAAGCTCAACAGGCAACTAATGGTAAAGGAGGAGCAGGTTTTGACTTCAGCAAGCCAGCTGAAGGTGAAAGATGGTAAAACGAGAAGAGTCCGGTAGATTCACCACTCAACAGATACACTGAGAAGCTACAGCCAGCCATCACATTCCTTTTGTTACCTTAGCACAGACTGCAAAAAGGCTAAATCAATCCTTCAAACGCAATTGATAGCAAGGGAAACCAACTTGGAGATGGCTAAATAGTGGCTGAAGACTTTGGAGTAAACTTAGGCAACAGAAATAGAATTGTTATTGACTGTTTAGGAATAAGATATCCATACAGGTGTAGACATATATGTTAGGTTGCAGGCGGTACGCCCCTGTACGCACGTACCGTTGCCTGACCGGAGCACCGAGTACCTTTCCAGTACAGTGCTCCGTAGGGCCCACCCGAGCTCCTTACCTCTATTTGAGCTCTTCGGCGCTTCCACGCATGCACACGAAGCGCACGGCACCTGTGTGATGCTCCGCCGAGCAGCTGGAGCATCACAGAGGCTCGCGGAGGCATCACAAGAGGTAAGGATGCATGCGTGCACTGCACACATCATGTGGTGGATGGTGGGCCCGTTGCAACTGGTACAGTTGCAACGGGATCCGGAACCCACCACTGTGTTACTATAAGTATTTGATGGTACGGTACAGTGTCACTAATAAGTGATATGGTAGACATTATGACTATAGATTTGTTAAAGTTAATAAAAGTTTCCCTAGAAGTACAGGGAAGGTAAAACCAGTCATGGTTTCTTTGAGACTGTCCATATTAATTATCCAATGGTATTTGCTTTAGTGACTCTGGAAATCTCTGTGATTTGATATTTAGATACTGTGCACTTTTGCCTGTTCATATATTTCTTTTTCTGCTTTTATCTTGCCGGCTAACTTTTTCTTAAATGTGTGTGTTGTTTAATAAATTTCAAGCTGTATTATTGCTGGCTGAAATAAGTGGTGTGTGTGAATGTTCAGGTCTGAATATGTGCATTAATTGAATGTGCCGGCTACAAATTTATCTGGAAATTACCCACAATCATTTTCCAAAACTCATTTATATTTACTTATATTATTAATCTAAAAGATGTCATTGGTTAAAGCAAGACAGACCACATACTTTTCAGTTATAACAATCTAAACTAGTGTGTCAATGAGTCACTGCAGCTGCTGATACTTATTTCTTTTTTTTTTCTGCCAGCAAAAATAAGAGCTAAAGTTAAATGTCTCATTTTGAAAGCATTGGGGCTCTTATGTTAAATTGCAATATATTTAGTCATTTTGAATGAATCAAATGGGCCTGATGATATCTGCTTTTTTATCTGCAAAACCAATCTTGTTCAGCCAAATGTTTCTCTAGTTAGAGTGCTTATGTTAAGTAGATGACAAAAAAAGCCCAAACTCCAAAATAAAATGAAAACATGAGCAATATCTAATCAGACTACTTCCCCTCTTCCAAAAAACACATCTGTTCTAGCTTTGTTAATGGTTGATAGCCTTGTGATCAGAATCCCATTTTAACAAATGTTGATAATTACCTGATTCTCGGGTCTAGTATTATATGAAAAGTGCATGATTTGTTTATGTACTCATGCCTATGGAGATAGTGTTCACTGATTGACACTGACTTCATTGTTCTTGCATTTATATTGAAATTATAGAATCTGATCCAGCACAGAAACACACGAATTGGTCTTTTCCGCCTCATATTTTGAAAAGGGTAGTATGGTCATGGAGAAAGACATCCCTTTGATCCAAATCTTCAAAGAAATATGACCAAATTGCAGCAAATTCTAAACTTATGGTGAAATTTGTGATTAAAAAAACAAGCAAAAATGTAATGTTCAAACTCCAACTGCGTTTATGAAGGGCATTTGAAACTTTTTTTCAAAAAGAGTTTATGTAAAAATTTGCCTACAGAATGAGTATCAAATTACCATAAATAAGCGGTGTCCATAGTCTAGAAACATAAATTTAATAGATAGCCCAAGACAAATCTGGAACAAATTTTGGACATCAGAGCTTCATATACTTATTTTTCCAACAGTGTAAAATAGGGGAAAACCCTAACCCTAACCTTAATCCCAACTCCAATAATGTGGCATAAAAATATGATATTTTCTTTTTAAAAAGAATTAGATTTATAGTGAAATAGAATCATAGAACCATCATATTTGGCATAGGAAAAAAATACAGAGATCCTCTGGTTCAACCCTCTGTTATGTGTAAGAACACCAAATCTAAATAAATACAATCATTGTATTAACCAGCATAAAATTAACAATTTGCTAAATAGGAAGCAAATAGCATTTAAAATGACTGGTAGGGTGTAAGTCATGGTAATTTTGACAGAAATTTCAATCAGAAAACCAATTATATCAGCCTTCAGAGTTCACTGTTGAGCCTCTTCTGAAAACCTTTTATAGCCAGACAACGAGAACCAATAGCCCTAGTAGAAAAGAGTTGTGTTGACAGAAAACCTTCAGTGTAAATAAACTCAACTGGTCTGAGATTACATACTGTACCATAGGTACAAGTCTGACTGTATGCAAAAATGTTGGGCTATCCATACAAACAAAGATAAACATATACAGTACAAAAAAAAGAATATATAGACATATCTTAATTATATTCACAATGTACAACTCTTGCTCCTAAGAATGTAACGGAAAAGTTGTCACTGTTTTTTTAGATTGTTGAAGCCTTATTTACTGCAAATGATTCATGAGATGGAAAGGTTGATTCAGGAATCCCAGGCTGATTTTATAGAACTGGCAGATAGCAAGGCTTTCTCATTTCCACCCACTCCTATTAACTGGAAAAATGGATCTAAACTTCATTGCAATAAAACAAGCATCCAGGAAGTTCTTTGGTCAAGTGTAATTTAAGTTTGAAGCAGTAATTCTTTTGGCTTCTATTTCTATTGCAATACTTCACTTGCCTCCCAACTGTACAATACGGGCTTCAGATTATTTGTAATCTGTGTTGTAACATCCATAGTTTTTGAAATATACTAAAGGCCCCACTGCACATTATGCCATCCAGTAAAGCCAATAAAATTAATTTCCACCGAGAAGGTCTATGGTAGCATTTTCATGACAGTATTTTAGGCTTCCTTGTAAAGTCTGCATGGATTTTTTTTGTAGTTAGAGGATGAAGGCATGCTTATTTTATTTATTTTATTCATTTAGTTTGTCACTCATGTACAAGGTAACAGGAATAAGAATAAACATGAATAAGAACACAGCAAATGGGTACAAATAAATGGGTACAGTAGGACAGAGATGTTAGGCATGCTGGTGTGCTTATGCATGCTCCTACTGACCTCTTAGGAATGGGGTAGGGCAACAGTAGATGTCCCAATAACCACTCTCCTAACAACCAAAATTAGGTACACATTCTACCTCCAGATTCACCACTACAGACCTGAAATGCAAGCTACTCAACCAAGAAGCCTCGCAAACAAAATACCCGAGTTCCTAAATATGGCTTACTAAAAACGGCTATATTTGACCTTATATTTGTCTAGACTTGGTTGAATGCATCCTTCCCTGACTTCATTACCACAGTAAGTGACTAGCATGTTCACTGGTCCAACTGTGAAATCCCTACATGGATGGTATTGCTATCTTCTATAAAAAGTCTCTTCCTCAGTCCATTGTCTGTGAACTGTCCTTAAACATCACATTTCACTTTTTACTATGTAACAGATTATGACTTCATTCATGCGAATGAGCTAACTTCACTACTAACGTGGGCAGCCTCCTGCTCACATCCTCTTATCTTTCTTGGTGACCTCAATTTACTCTTATTAATTGGACCATGAATGAATGTACATCTGAACCCATACATGCAACCATGTACAATACAATGTTGATTCACCATGCTTCATGTATGAGCCATGGTGGTGCAATGGTTAGAGTGTAGTACTGCAGAATACTTCTGCTGCCTGCCAGCTGCCTGAAATTTGGTAGTTCAAATCACACAAGGTTCAAGGTTGATTCAGCCTTCCATCCTTCTGAGGTGGGTAAAATGAGAATCCAGATTGTTGGAGGTAATATGCTGACTCTGTAAACTGCTTAGAGAGGGCTGTAAACCACTGTAAAGTGCTATATAAGTCTAACTGCTATTGCTAGTACTATGTCTCCCATGCTACCTATTCAAGTCATATTTATAAGATACATATCCTGATTATTTCAAATTGTTATCAGATTTGTTAAAATAATGCACACTGTTCTCAAACCAGTTAGACAGCCAGTGTAGGAACATATAAAGTCACTAAACAAAGATTAAAATTAAACCATTTGGCTTGAAGATCATGGCTTGATTATCACAAGAAAGATTAGGAAATGTTGCACTTTCATAGTTTAGAAAATAACAATGCATATTAACATTTTTGCTGTTTTGTTTATTTGCACTTACCAACCTCCATAACACTAGAACAATTGGAATCTGTGATGCCATCAGGACATTCGCAAGTATAGAAACCATCCAAACCAGACACACAGATGCCTCCATTTTCACAAGGATTAGAGTCACATGCATCCTCTGTAAATTAAAGAAAGACTTGTTCAATTACATGGTAAACAATATTATGAATATATGTTTGTAAGCATTCAGAAGACATATGTATACTTAGGAAAAAGGGCCTTTCCTATCTCGTGTTGTCCATATATATTGACAGCAATTTCCAAAATTCCCAACTTAAATATGCTCATCATTTTATGGACACGGAATTGGATATATTTTTTTAATTTATCCCAAAATATGTTTTTTAAATATAAAGGATGGGAGGCATTGTAAGCTAAAAATCAAATTTCATAGCCTCTCATCTGCTGGACTACATGTTGACAAATTGATTTGTTACAAAGTGTAATATATTTGTCTAGAATATGACATAAGTTCACCATATACTCAATGGATTATAGCATTTTAAACCTCAGAGCTGTCAAGCAGAGTATGATCTAAAAAAATACCTATTTGAATATAATCCATTTGATTTCACTGGGATTTGATTAAGCACTTGGGTGTCAGAGAGCCATCTGATTAATAGCTCTCTTTCTGTCATACCTGTGCACTGTATTTCATAATATTCGAATAATAATGGAATCAGATCATGCAGTTTGTCAAAATCTCTCTTTTCATATAGGCATCTATCACATGCTATTAATCTTTGTCAATTTAAAACTTTCTTATTTAGAACAGAAACAAGTATCTAACTCATTGATCCCTCATTTGTCTGACTGCTATGAAATATAGAGATATAAGGAATTTGGTTTCCTCTAATAAATGCATCAGAAATACATGGCTTCTCTGAAAAATGATTTTAATTGCCAAGTTATAAGCAGAGTCTAGTAAAAACAACATCAAAATACAGAAGAAATGGATTTTCAAAGCAACAATATAGATCTCAATATAACATGATGTATCTCCATAGCTTCCAACAAAACTTGTGCCAGGTCCAGATACATTAAAACGCTTTGCTTCTCCCTCTTTTTTCTCAAATTCAGTCACTAAACTGCTTTATCTCAGACTACACATCTATGATTTCAAACATGCAGGTAGTTAAATATTCATGCAGGAAAATATGTCATCCCAATTAGGAAATATATTCTAGTTCTAACAGTAAACAGTTTATCGAATAATAACAAAACAGGAAGGGACCTTGGAGATCTTTTAGTCCAACCCCGTGCTCAGGCAGAAGATCCTATACCATTTCAGATGAATGGTTGTCCAATTTCATCTTAAAAACCTGGAGCATTCACAACTTTTGGAGGCAAGTTGTTCCACTGATTAATTGTTCTAACTGTCAGGAAATTTCTCATTAGTTCTAGGTTTTTCCTCTCCTNTCTTTTTTTTCTAACCTCCATGCATATGTTCACTTTCCTAGATTAGAAGTTAGAATGGGGGAAAAAATACCCCATCCACACTAATTGCCAGGAATAAATGAGTTTGAATGGTGTGGCTAATTTGTGTGTGTGTGTGTGTGTGTGTGTGTGTGTGTGTGTGTGTGTGTGTGTGTGTATACTTGCCATTAATCAAATAAAAGGAATTAAATTTTTCAGATATGTATGGTTTCTCTCTGTGTGTTTCTATTTACTTAATTATATGCACCATGATCAAATGTGATTTATAAGAAATGCTACAAGGTGGGCCCCTTCTTCCTTTATTTCCTCTTAGATTTATAATTTGCCAAGTTTCCTTCAAAAGCTCAAGGAGGCTTATATCGGGATTGCCATTTTTCTTAATCCCATAGTGGTTTAACTGTGAACAAGCTATCAGTCAAAAGTCATCCAATCAATTGCATTGAGTAAGGATGGACTTGAGCCTATGCCTCTTCTTCATGTTATCCATGATGCTCCGTGGTTTCCAGTCAATCATTTTTTTAAATCAGAATATTTCCTTCCATTTTTTTCACTGATGTTTCTTACCACTAGGGGTGACATGATAGCAGTGTTCCAATATTTATGATGCTGCCACATAGAAGAGGGGATCAACCTATTTTCCAAAGCATTAGAAGGCAAGAGAAGAAAAAATGAATGGAAACTAAACAAGGAGAGAAGAAACCTAGAACTAAGGAGAAACTTCTTAACAGTGAGAACAATTAACCAGGGGAATGCCTTGCCTTCTGAAGTTGTGGTGGTCTATCTTGAGCTCCTTGTGATCTTCTGCCAGAACAGACAACTCAGATGTCTTGGACAGAATTGTCACAAACCCTTGTCATTTGCTTTGGTGGTTGGTTGATTGGAAAGACTGAAAGAACCTGAAGGGCTTGAATATATGATTTTCCCATCTAGATTTTAAGCATATTGAAGCAAAAGAATGGTGGACTATTTACGGTAGCTTGGATGGCATTTTATGACAAACCAGTTGAATTTATACTTGTTTCCATATTTTTTCTTAAATTTGTGATGCAGTACTCTGTTTTTAAAAAATGTACATATCTTATGGAAAACTGCAATTAAATGCATGTTTTGGGAACACAGTGTACAAAAAGATATGGAACTTGGCAAAAATAAATATTTTGAGAAAACATGACTACAAAAGCACGTGTATTAGGAGAAATGTGCACAAAAATGAGTAAGAAATACAAATAGTTTTTTTCTGCAAAAAAACCCCAAAACCTTTCCATACTGCTGTAGAAATGAATTACAACGGAGTAATGCTTCAAAAACTTGCAAGTAATGGGAAGCAGACTTATTTATTCATCTTTATTGAAAAAAAATAAGTTGCAGAGAAAAAGAACCTGAACAACATGGACAGTGACAGTGGTTAAATTTATGGCTCTGTACCTACCAAAGGACGCCAAGGGGATTTGATTTCAACAACTCTCAAAGATCCCTTTTCTTTTTGTTTTGTTTTTTTATTTTTTTCCCACAGATTCTCAGCTTCACTCAAAGAAAATAATGCTTTGAAAAAAGAAATCCCTTTTTCTTTTCTCCATCCTAGTAATTTGGAATTTCCTCCCCATGACTACCTGCTTAGGGTTGTGCAAATCTTCACAGGTTCCTTAAGACTCTTCAAAGGATGCCCGTGAAGCATGGCATCCAAATGAAATAGTACTTGGCTGTCCCCTGTTGAGGTAGAATGGCTAGGAACAGCAGCTTTTATTTACAATCAGCACATGGGCAGAAGCCACTTTTAACAAACTGGAGTTTGTTGTGCATCAGTAATCCCATGAGGGGGAGTTACATCCCATTATCGGGGCAGCAGATAGTGGGGGAACAGCAAGCTGTCTTTCAAGCCCCCAAATTGCCTGGTATGGATCTTATTTTCATTTTTACAAATTCATGTGCTGTCTTCTAGGTAGGATTCAGTGCTTCTAATTGCTCTCTATTCACCTGCTTTCTTGTACGGTCTTCATTTTTAAATTTGCAATCTGATCCTGCTTACCAAGTCAATAAATCCTTATTTCATGTCCTTCCATCTTGGGATACAATTTTAAAAATTAGACATCTATTGTTGTTTTTTAAATAAAATCTTTGTTGGCTGCTTCTCAGAGCTTTTACTTTGACACCAAAGTGAAACATCTATGTTCACAGACAATAAATATATATATTTTAACTTCTCATTGACTTCCTTGAGTTACTAGCTTAAAATCAGTCAGACAAACTGCAGCTTCCTCAGCCTGTGATAGTTCTGTTTCTCTTCCTAAACTTTAAAGGTTTTTGCAATAGTTATTAAATATGTTTAACATAAATATAGGACAAAAGCTATTTTTGGACATAGATGTCTCATAATTATATTAATAATTTTTAAATTTGTTTTTAGGATGAAATATTCTTACCTCAAAGATAAATGACTACATTGTTCACTATCATATTCTCTGAATGTGATACAAAAATTGGAGCGTAGCAACACCACACACACTTCTCCCTAATCAAAGTTTCTTTTTCTTTTGTTAGTGTCAATTCATTGGGTTATCTATTCCTGCTTGCTTCTTGTACCTGTAGAAAAAGAAAACCCAATGTAGCAATATTTTTTTTTGTTTTCCCAGCAATTTCATATTATATTGTTTTAATTTCCTGAATTTATTACTGTGCATCTAGGCTTCAAACCTACATAGTGGCACTACAGATTACTTCTGGGAAATTAAAACTAATGGCTCCTGTTCAATTGTTTAGTTCTTTGTGAATACAAAAACTAATGGACCCATAATTATTTTTGGAAATAAACATAACCATAGTTGACATCAAACACTTCATATTTTACATAGGATGCTCGTTGCCTGGTTTTATTTGAGTTTACACAAAAGGACATATGTAACTGGTATGGAATCAATTAATTGTTATAAAAACCTTTCTATAATAGATATCTTCAGATGAAGATGAAATAATAGCCAGAAAGCCAGACATGCAGCTGAGGCCCATCATTAATTATGGAAAAAAAATAGCCATGGGTGAAAACCATTAAGTCCAAAGCTAGGAGACCTCCCATTGTGTTTGCAGAATTTAGCTGCTGCATCATTAGCCTTGTGTTCTAAAATATGCATTTCTTCTATTTGAAATAGAACTGCTTTCGTGGTGTGGGTTTCAGGAAATAGTTTACATTTTCAAAATGGAGCAAACTTTGTAATTTGAAAAATCAGAATGAAAGTTTAGTTTGTAATTTTATGTATTGGTTGTTTGATTTATTTTATTTTAACAAAGACCAACACTTATGCATCAAAGGGATGGAAAAATATTTTAAGTAACCAAGAGTACAGACAAAAATATACAGACAAAAAATACTGAACTTACTGAGATGGCTAAACTGCTAGGGATTTTATAACAAAGGCAATTACATCTCAAGAAGAGATGTAATTGCCATTGTAATCAAATCATTAGCAGTTTAGCCATCTCAGTAAATTCAGTATTTTTTGTCTGTATATTTTGAGAGGGCCAGTGGATATGAAGGACCTGTTAGGAAGATAATGCTCTTTTCCTCTAAGTTGCTGTGAAAATAGAATACAAAAAGTCCTGTAGATATTTGTGTATGTCAACTGCTAAACAGTATCAAAATACTAGGTAATAATGAAGTTCACAAACCCAAGGATATTTTTGCCAATT